GAAAATATTCCTTTTAATGAGAGTTTTGAGACATAAAAATAAGAGTAATGAAGGGAGGTGGTCAGAGGGCGGCAGGAGGGCCAGAAGTTGAGCTGTAACGCTGTGTTGGTGGGTTTGTGTACTCGATGCTCCCTTCTTTTTACTTTTTATATAAATCTATTTTTTTGAATTTAAAAGTTTTTAATAATTAATGTCGTGCCAACCTCGACTCTCTCGATCGATCGATCTGCCACTCAAAAGTTGTAATAATTTTAAAAGTTCTTTTTTATTTTTCATAAGTCACACAGAAGTTGGGTATTTATAGGAAAATGAAGACTTTGTTCGATAATGTGAATCACCGAGCGTTGAGAGACCAAAATTTAAGCATAATGCTTAGTCAAATTAATAGAAATTCATGGATCGAGTATTAACTTTGCCAAAATCAAAAATCAGATGCTAAAGTTCAAAATTGCAAAAATCAAGTTTTATTAATTAATTAAATATTTAATTGTAATATAATATAATTAACCCACCTTCACCCCACCTCCACCACCCATACTGCTCCGCCGACAGTTTTGGTGCCACTATGCTCCGACGATTATTCTGACGATTATTCTAGTGACTGATGACTACTCCGGTGACTTTTTCGATAGCCGTTCTGCCGCCGCTTAATTCCGACGATTGGTCCGATTCCAACAATTTTTAATGTCAGTCATATACAATTTGGTCACGGATATCTTATTAATTAATTAAAAATTAATTTTTGATCATGATTTATCAAATTATTTGATCACAGATTATTTTGAGATCACAAATCAAAAAATTTATAAGTTACAATTGACTTTATTGGTCACTGATAAACAAAACTATAGGTTACAGATTTTTCATTGGTCACAAGTTAAAAAAATTATAGATAACAGAAATCACATATTTCCAAATTAGTTAATCACAGATTATTGAATTTTAAGGTCACGGTTTAATAGTTAGTCACAAAGAACCGTATAGTGGGTCACAAACACCCAAACACCCGTCCCCCGGTCCCCATCCACCTCCAATACTTGGTCACAGACCGACTAAATAGTTGGTCACGGATACTCTTCGACACGGCTGCCACAACCATCCACCAACAATAATACCAACCACGTTGGGATCGATAACACCAACCATCCTACTATATTAATCGATATAAAAAATTGTTGTAAAGTAAAAACTAGTTAAAGAAATTAAAAAAGTTGCTCGGATGTGCTCCTCTTATCTGAAGATCAGACGGGCGTGGAGACCCAATCACGAAATCACCACTGTTAGCACAAATATTTCTTCACAGTAGCTCTTTTTAATATAACGCACCGGCTGGGAATAGAGCCCAGGTCTAAACCGTGTGAGGGTACTATTCTA